CTGTAAAGGATTTTAACCCCTCCACATGACACTAATTAAAGCTTTCTGGACATGGGGGGGGGGGTGGATATTTCTTGAGCCTACTAATATATGATTTTGACTGGCATATATTTTTCATATACTCCATCTGGCACACAAAGTGGTAACAGATAAATAACTCTGCATAATAACAATAAGAACATAAGAATAGTAATAACTTCCTTACTCTACTCCTCTCCCATAAGCCTTTTAATGTATATGATAAATCATGTATTTTATAAAGGCAGGAGGCAAGGTTTAGACTTTTTTTTAAGTTATGGGATCTGTGTGGCCTTCAGATTATTCTTGCCAGCTCCTCATCCCATAAAGTATTAGCACAGGCTTGCAACTAGCAATTGGGTTCTCTCAGTACTTCTGGGATAGAAGAGCCCTCAGATGTCCAGGTTAATCTCATCTTACAGATGCCTAGGCCCAGAGGGGTAAAGTGACTTTCATCAGCTGCACAGTGAAACGGTTGAACATATATTTAATTTGCTGCTAAAAATCGGCAACAAGTCCCATTCCTGCAGAGGGTGAACTATACTAATGAACTACCCTGGGAGAAAGCTCAGCTGTGGCAGAATGCTTTGGAAATAGGAGAGGACTAGGAAAACATTCGTGGGCAGTTCTACAGATTCCTTCTGTAGTTTTTCCTCTTGGGAGATCTGGCTTAGAATCTTATTCAGCTATTGCCTGTTTTAAAACAATGTCATGTAAAGACCATTTTGGTGTTTGTGAACAGTGATGCCATTTAGAAAGTTTCTATTTTAAGGGGATTACTGTCCTTTGGAAATCAGCTTCTGAGACATTTGTATTAAGTCCAGGATATTTTAAATTGCACTGAGTCATAAGAGCAAAAATACAGACGGGGCAGTCACTGTGAACAGTCCTCACAGGCAGGACGTCAGTAACGAGGCTAATAACCAAGCAGGCACAGCCCACTTAGAGCGCTAACTGAACAAGTGATCGCTTAAATATAATTTTACTCTCACTGGGCGCAAGACAAGAGATATGGTCAGAAACAGATTGTCGCTGACTTTTGATGATCGTTTGATGTAACAATGGTGGGAAAGTAATATGCATTCAGTTGAAACCATGCCTCAGATTTTAAAGTTCGATCTTTTCCCAGGCTAGTGATATGCTGTATGACACGCGTTCATGAAGCCAGGCAGTGAGAGCGAGCCCCGCTGCCGGGCAGCCACACGGTCGCAAGGCTAAACCACCAGTGTGGTATATTGTGTGGTAATGAGACCCACACAAGCATTCTGCCTTTCACTGCCGGGACAGTATTCAACACATTACATGAGACAGTCAACATTTTGTTATATAAAGTAGCTTTGTGCTATATGATTTTACCCAACCGGAGACTAATGCAAGTGTTCTGAGTGCTGAAGGAGGCTAAGTTACGGTATTCAGTAGACTAGGTGTGTATTGCATGTTTTTTTTTTTTTTTTTTTTTTTGGGTGGGACCCTCGCTGGCGGCCAGGGAACGAACTGGCGCTGCAGAGGCTGAGGGCAGCCTCGCAGCCCAGCGCTCAACGGCTGAGCCACCAGGAGAGGCCCTACATGTATTTTTGATTTCCAATGCTTTCAATTTATAATGGGTTTATCAGGACACTAAACCCATCGTACGTCAATGAGGATTGTACAGCAATGTTAGACCTGTTTTTCAACTGTAAATTGATCCGAGAGTCTTCAGAGGAAATGTAGACTAGGTTTGGATAATAAGTTTGAAACAGAAACTGAGACTATTGGGTCAAATTAGCTTTTTGTAACTGAAAAAATTCCCAATTAAGAGGTATTCTTATGAAAGTTGAGACCGTCAATGAAAGATGTAATCTTTCAAATTTATCCACTGAAGAAGTAATGGAGGAGGAATGGGTGGGAAGGATGGAGGCAGGAAAGAAGAGAAAGAAAAAGAAAAAGAAAAGAAATTAATTAGTTCATAAATTGAGATTGGAAAAGTCCAAATTTGTTTGCTAGTTTTGATACTAATTAGCTGTGTGACCTTACTCATCTGATTCTCAGTTTCCTCTTCTATAAAACAAAATAATGACAACTATTGTAAGGGTGGTTGAGATTATTAAATGATACAAAATATTTGGAAGACAGCAATATGATCTGAGGTGTGCCAGAGCATTAGTGCTGTCATTACCAAGTCTTCAAATTGCACAGAGTTCCTCTAAGCTTTTATTTGTTCCCTACATGCTTGAGTCATTTGCTGTTTCTTGCCTTCAAAATAATGTGTTGCCCACACACTGAAAGTTTTGGGGAGACTGATTTTGTGCTTTCTCTTTTTCTTTTTTTTTAGATTTATTTATTTATGCATATAAGAACTGGGGTACAGGCCAGAGGTGCAGGAGGGTGAAAGGATTCATCAAAGAGAGAGTGGGGGACAGAACAGGCAGACTGACTGAAATACACTGCTGAGGGGAGCAGCGGGAGAGGCAGGAGAGGTCTGCTGCGCCATGTGGGTAGCTCCCTGGCCAGGGATTGAACTCGTGCTGCAGTGGCTGCAAATAGCTTCATAGGTTGCGTCTCAACATCTTGTGCCACAAGGGAGTCCCTGCTTTCTCCTTTTCTTTCTTTTCCTTTTTTTTTTTTTTTTTTTAAGATTTATTTTTATTTATTTATACAAGCACTGGGTACAGTGAGAAGCGCGGGAGGGTGAGAGAATTCACCAGAGCCAGAGTCAGAGCGGGGAACAGAGCAGGCAGACTGATGAAACACAGCGCTGAGGGGAGCAGCGGGCGGCAGGAGAGGTCTGCGCGCCATGTGGGACCCTCCTCCGGTGGCCGGGGAGCAGCCGGAGATTGAACCGGCGCTGCAGAGGCCACGGGCAGCTTCGCAACCCAGCGCTCAACCGCCGTGCCACAGGGGAGGCCCTGCTTTCTCCTTTTCAACTGAAAACTAGCTCAGTGTTTCCTAGTCTCTTTTTAGGCTTCAATACAAATGAGGTAACAAGAGGTAAGGTGGGAGGGCCTCCCTGGTGGCGCAGGCGGTTGAGTGCAGTGCTGTGAAGCTGTCCACAGCCTCTGCAGCGCCGGTTCGATCCCGGCTGGCCGACGAGGGTCCCACATGGCGCGGCAGATCTCTCCTGTCTTGCTTGCTGCTCCCCTCAGCAGTGTATTTTGTCAATCTGCCTGATCTGCTCCCCGCTCTGCCTCTGGTGAATCCTCTCACCCTCCCGTGTATGTGGCCTGTACCCCGGTTCTTGTATAAATAAATAAATCTTTTAAGAAAAAAAAAAGAGGTAAGGTGGGAAAATCTACTTTCCCCAATTCAGCTAAGAATCTACTCAAGATCCTACCGCACACCATGTCCCCTACCCCAGCTATGCTTTTCTGTTCTGGTCAAACATGTGTAAGGATCTGAGCATTAATAAAGTAGCGTGCTCTCACAGTTGCCTATTGGTGTCAGTCTCGGAATCCAGTCCTTCCTGTTTCTCAATACCTGCTCTACCAGATTCTTCGGCCATCCTGTCCTAGTGACATGCTGTTCAACTGGGGAAGCACCATGGCTCTCAGAGATGGCTCCAAACTTTTGAGCCACACCCCGGGTGATGCATTAGGTGAAGCTTTCCCACCTAATATTCACCCAGTTTCTCACTCATGAGGAATTTGACTCAAAAGAGCCCTGGCTTATCTTTGATCTGGGAGGGTGTCGACTTACGCAGTAGCTGAAGCACTTTTTCAAGATTAAGTAATCATGTCTGAAATTGTCACCCTACAACAAGATCTTCATGTGTTTTACTATCTTTAGGTGAGAGTGGGGGTTGGGAGGGAGGACTTCACCTGCCAAAATATGACATAACCTACTTTAAAAAAAAGATCTTACAGTGTTTACGGCTTTCTGTTTTCACATAGTTAAGCTCAAAGCATATTTAGGTATCTAAAGTTCTTTTTCAGTTATAATGATTTAGGGAGGACCTTTGAGTAAAAAGTCTCAATATGAGATTGAAATCACAATTTTGAACAAAAAATGTGAAAGATCATAAGAGATGGTTTGTTCTACCCTTAAAATCATGGAGTATTGAGGACTCTGTCTAGTTAGAAAAGGGAACAGGGCCAGAAGCCAGGTCTTTCAAGGTCCAACTCTATCTGTGGCTCCCCTAAGACTGGCCCTTAGTGCCAGTCTTAAGAGGTAGCCTGTAACTGACTGACAAAGTTTGGATCTCAATGAGCAGATTCATTGTTTCTATCTGCATATAGGAGAAACAAGAGGAAAGGACACATAAGGGAAACAACTAAGAGTGGTCTAGTAGTGAGTATAATATGAAACAAACACAAAAAAGACCAGCTTCTACTTTTAGTACAGCTTAGGACTCAAAGCACTTGGCCCCTTGAGAATGCTGACTACTACACAATCATTTCATGTTGAAGCCCACTCCCATTCAAAAATCAGCCAATTCATAATAATAAAAGTAACAGACAGGCTTATTTGGATTTACTTCTAGTCACATCTTTCTACACCAACTACCCAAAGAAACATGCTTAAGGCCAAATATCTACAGGGCACATTGCATTTTGGCTGAGTGGTATCTCTCTGATTTCTACAGTTACGAGGGTCACAGATCTTTCAGTGAAGTATAGCAAGAGTGTACAATAATTTGTGGTTCTGTGCTTATAAAAGGTGGAATGTTTTAGAGAGTTTGAGATTCATTTGAAATGAAGACTTACACAAGTGAAAGAGAACTACTGTAATCTTCATCCTCTGAACTAAAGTGCTTCCTTCCTGTGTAAATTTGTAGGCATTTAACATCATGTGCCTCTCTTTTGTTCTCTACAATCAGAACCTCACGTAGATGACACACGACATATTTAAAGTGCTCTGGATACTTCAGAGAAAGATACCTTACAAAGATCTTTTAAAACAAAACAAAACAAAACAAAACAAAAGATATTTAAAACCACTCCCTCATATCCAAATGGAGGGGGACTTCAGACATAAATAATTTGGGATTTTAATTTCATATAACTTACCTATATCGCTCTTCCTGTAAGGCCTGCATTATTAATGAATAGTCCCTCTGATAATGTTCCTTGAGGGTCTCAAAGGATTCTTCTAGTCTGGCCTGGGTTTCCCGGATCTCCTGGATCTCATGTAATAGTGCATCAAATCCTGAGCTCTGCATGTCTAGAGTGTTTGTTTTGGAGCTAGATGCTCCTACAGCAATGCCTCCAGTAGTGCTGTTGGCTCCCACTGAGCCTGAAGTGGCACTAGAACAATCTTCTTCACTACCATATTTTGGGCTTGACTGAAAGTTTGAAATCACCCCCAAAGTTTTTCCCCCATCATCCACTTGCCCTTCCTCTAAAGAGTCCTTCAGATTAGGGATGTTGTCTGCACTGCCAAATTTATTCCGAATTAGTGAGGCGATCTCTCTAGGCTTTGAAACCACAGCCCCTGCTGCTGAATGAGTTGCCTGGGAGAAGCTGGAAAGTCCACCTTTGACACTGTCCACCACACCTTCACTGAAGCCAGTCACCTTTGCTCCCACATCCTTCAGACCCTGGTGCATGTCCCTGAAGACATCCTTTGGCTGCCGGGGTATCCCATTCTGCTCCACTTCTCGGAGCTTCCTGTGGTAGTGCTCAAGCTTCTTTTGTAGTTGTTGGATGGTTTGGGCAGATTTCTGGTTCTTCTTCTCAAAGACCTGCTTGATACGGGCAGCCTGTTGCTTGTCTGCACTGTTGGCAAGCTTCAAATATTCAGCAACGTTGTCGTCACGAGCTGTTTGTGCAATCTTGATCTGTTCTGTGAGTTTCAAGATCTTTTGCTGCAGATGGGCAATAGCAGCCTTTGTGCGCTGAGGGTCTGGTGTTCCATCCACAGAGTCTGTGTGGATGCTGCCATCGGTGCTGGAGGCCACTGCACTGGAAGTCTGGGCGAGGTTACTTACTTCCAACCGCTCAATCTAGGGTAAAAGCAAGTGGTGGATGTTAGAAGGAGCCCAAGAGGACAACCTCTCCAGAATCAACAGGCGCAAATGTATTGAAAACTTACCTACTCTCAGACTTAACACAGAGGGCTGACCTAATTCCCCCTGTACTGTAACATGCCCTGACTCTCTCTTAGACACTGTATCCTCATACAAGTATACATATCTTCATACAACAGAGCTATAAAAAAGTATTTGCACAAGATGTAAACTGTGGCTATTCTTCCTTTGCCAGAAGATTTTTTTTTAAAGATAAGATTTCTTATTTATATATATATTTATTTATTTAGTGTAGCAGAACTGGGGTACAGGCCAAAGGTGCAGGGAGTGAGAGGAATCCACCAGAGACAGAGTGGGGATCAAAACAGGCAGATCTACTGAAATACACTAAGGGGAGCAGTAGGTCAAACAGGAGAGGTCAGCTCCCTGGCTGCACCATGTGGGTCAGCTACCTGGCTGGGGATGGACTCAAACTCAGTCCCCAGTAGCAGGCCGAGCTGTCGTGGTGGTAGCAGTGAGACTTAACTTCTAGGCCATCCGGGAAGCCCTGCTAGAAGATTCAGTACAGTATTTTTTCAAATAACAAAGCTCCTCTAGTAGTTTAAAGCATATATTTACATTCTTCACACATTTTTGTTTAGACGCATATCTATGTAAAACAAGGTAACTCTGTATTTCAATTTAATGATATGGAAAGTCATTTTAGTATTCAGACACTGTAATTTCAATCTTTTTCAGATTATGGTTCTCCAACAATGTTGAGAATAGGTATCTTACCAGACAGATATAAAAATCCCATTTTTTATCAGTCTTTTTGTTCAAATTGTGTGAAGGGTGAGGGAATCGTTCTCTCTATTCTAATAGGTACACTTAATTGGCAGCAGGAGATGGGTGTAGGTAAGAATGGGAAAGTACGGCTGAAAGTGGCAAGGATAAATGTTTTACACTCTTGAGAGTTATTTAAAAATCCCAAATCCCAAATAACTGTGATAGACTCAGCAAAGATAAAAATACTCAGGGACGGGAGCAGTAAGAGATAAGTAGTTAAACAAGTCAACCACTAAGTTCAGGCCTTCCAGAGCTCAATTTTTTTTGTTATATCCAGTAAAGGTCTTTATTGGGCAAAGAACTCCTAAACACATAAGGACTATCCGCTCCTATGGGTGAGTAACCATTCATAGGAATTGAAGAAGAGCCCCACAGCTCAGATCTGAAAGCTTAAACTATCCCGCCTAAAAGCAGTTAGCCCAGTTTAGAGGGAAGTCAGGTTTCCTAACTGCAGGTGGTTGTGGGGGGCATGAGAATTCCTTCAGGAAAGTGCCCCTGGGTGTGGCTTGAGGTAGTGAATCAGAGTAGGCCCATGCAAAAAAGGCATTAGAAACTGCTCCCTTGAGCAGTAAGAGAGAGGAAAAAAAAAAAGAACCACCTTAGAGAAATAAGAATTTCCAGTATGAGAATCAAACGACGAGTTCATGGAGATGGAGTTCAAACCCTTTCCTTGGTTCATAATCCTAATCTTCACTAGGAGCAATATGTTAGAAAGAACTGTATACAGTTACCCTCATATTTTAAAAAGTTGAATTGTATTTTTGTGATGACAATAATACACCATGTTAAATATTCTTGAAATGTTGATATTTAACTTGTCAGTCTAGAGTACATTTCCTTTTTTTTAAATCTTGGTTGTATCTCTTCAGTTTGCTGCCTGGGCAGGAATTATGCTATCTCTAGCTCTAAAACACATTTAGTGCATTACTAAATTCAATATATTACCACTGTTGTGAATAAAAGACAATATTATTTTCCTTCCAGATAAACAAATGATATTGTGCATTTAAATGATATTGTGCAATAAAATCAAAAGATAACTTAAAACTGAAACAAATGGCAAAATGACATTATGCTCCATGAACAAAAAAGATTATTCAGAATAGTTCTTAAGAAGTAGCACAATGGGGCCTCCCCGGTGGTGCAGCGGTTGAGCGCTGGGTTGCGAAGCTGCCCGCACCCTCTGCGGCGCCGGTTCGATCCCCGGCTGCTCCCCGGCCACCGGAGGAGGGTCCCACATGGCGTGCAGACCTCTCCTGCCGCCAGCTGCTCCCCTCAGCAGTGCACTTCGGTCCTTCTGCCTGCTCTGCTCCCCGCTCTGGCTCTGGTGAGTTCTCTTGCCCTCCCGCGCTTCCGACTGTACCCAGTGCTTGTATAAATAAATAAATAAATATTTTTTTTTAAAAAAAGGGAAGTAGCACAATGACTATTTTGTTTCACTTCTTCCATCTTCCCTGTCCATTTTTAGGTGCAATCTAACCACCAGTGAAATGGCCAGAGGGAAGGCACCAGAAGGGAAGATGACCCAGAGTTCCAGATAAACAAGTTGTCACTCATAGCAGGAATCTAGAAAACTTAAATAAGGGACCAGGAAAAAGAATAACTATAAGAAAGAAAATATCAAAATCAACAAACAACTATGAACCAGAGACACTCTGTGGGGGGTGGGGGGGCGGGGAAAGGAGGGATTGGGGTCAAAATAAGGGGGTTGCAATTGTATGGGGAATATAAAAATAAAATTTAAATAGAAAATAAATTAAAAAAAAAAGTTGTAAAACAACAGGCGCTCCTAGAAACCCACTCTCTTGTGTGCCTTAGATTGCACAGGGTACCTATGATATGATTTTCTTTCTAAGTGGTTTTTCAGATCCTGTAACTACAATATATAATACAATCCTGATTTTACACTTATTTTTAATAGTATAAAAATGTACTACTGTATAAAAAGAAAGCAAACATAAAATACTACTAAATCTCAGACTACTAGCTTTTAATGTCCTAGTTTTATGGTCACTTTATTATTAAGGTGAATATTAATTTACAAGCAATCTGTTGTCTGAAGAAGTGTAAATATGGAAAGTAAATGTAACCTTTACTCTGGGAGGATCAAACTGATCCTACTGGTGAAAAGATGGCTTAGGGACTAGAATCAAGGTTTGATTACATCTATAAAAACTGAGAAAAGCCACGACAAACTTTCACTATAATTATTTACAAATTATCACAGTTTAGATGTGATGTTTCCCTATACAACTAAAAGAATGTCTTTCAACTGACTTCTGTCCTACCTGGACTGTTCGAGACCACACTATGTCCTTCTTGTGCATGGCGCCCACTCAGAATCACCAACATGCCTGCAGAGCACAGCTGACAGAACCACTGTCCTTAGTCTCCAAGGAAAACTAACCCACAGCTGTAGCAGGAATGTAGCTTAACACCTGAAGCCATGAATCACTGCATTACTCAGCAACTCCTCCCAATTCTGGCTGGCACTCTCCTTAAACAACGAAGGAGAGGAGAGCGAGAAGATAGGGCAAAATGGGAAGAGGAGGACTGGAGAGAGGATGAGGGAAAAAGAGAAAGAGGGCAGAGAGGAAGTGCGCAGAAATGTGTTGGACTATTACAGGGAGGAGGCTGTGAAAACTCTCAGTATTTTCCACCCTGTGAAGAAACTCCTTGGAGGCTTGAATACTCAGCACAGAAATGGACTGACTTTGCAGTGAATTATGAATGCACCAAGTAAAAAAGGGGTTCTTTTTTCCAACAGGCTGTGTTGGCATATTAGGTTATCCATATATAACAACATAAAATTAGATTCCTACACCACACTCCAGACTATGTCCAAATTTGAAAAGCAAAATTTAAACCTTTTAGAAGGAGTGTTGGAAAATAGGGACAGATTTTCTTAAACATACATGAAAACTCATTCAGTAATCAGTAGTAATACTAAATCTGGCTGCTGATTTAGCTTGGTGGCAAGCACAGACTCTGGTATAACTGCTTGGGTTCAAATCTGGCTTTGCTACCTACTAACCACATGACTTTGGTCAAGTTACTTAACCTCTATATTCTTTCATTAACAATAAAATGGGGTTAATATTAATGTCCACTCCAGAAGACTGCTATGAGCATGAAATGAGTCAATAAACATAAAAGCACTCAAGATATTGGTAATACCAGGCACAGAGTAAGCTGTTAGTACTGGCTATTATTTTTGTACCATATAAGTGGCTATAATAAAAAATTCAAATATTGAAAGATTCCAGAATATATTTCCTTTTCTAAGGAAATATGAAATTTTCACATTTCAGGCGTAAACAGGATATAGAGTCTGAACCAAAGGAATAATGTAATTAAACAGTGCAGTGAAGTGACTTTATGACTGTTCCTTTTTTTTTTTTAAATAAAGTTTCTTTTTCTTTTTTTTAAAAGATTTGTTTATTTATTTATACAAGCACTGGGTACAGTCAGAAGCTCGGGAGGGTGAGAGAATTCACCAGAGCCAGAGCAGGGAGCAGAACAGGCAGAAGGACCTAAGTACACTGCTGAGGGGAGCAGCGGGCGGCAGGAGAGGTCTGCACGCCATGTGGGACCCTCCTCCAGTGGCTGGGGAGCAGCCGGGGATCTAACCGGTGCTGCAGAAGCTGCAGGCAGCTTTGCAACCCAGCGCTCAACCGCTGTGCCACTGGGGAGGTCCCACTGTCCCTTTTCTTGATGGTTGGTCTTGTCACTTGATAGCTGGTCTAGTATATGTGGCTAGCACTTAGCTAACTACTCTCCCAAGTCATACCACACCCTATAAAGAAGACACTAATATGCCTCAATTATAGATGAACTGACTGTACATGCAACCTGATAATACCCACAGCACCATCACCTACTCACCTCTGACCACATCCTAAAGGGCCTTCATGTCTTGTCATACCCACCAGAGTAGCAAGTTCCAGCTACTCATGGATGAGGTTAGAACTTATGTATAGAAAAGAGCTAGGGCCCAAAGCGTGTCACTTAAATATATTTTGAATATTTATTTATTTTTTTAAAAAGATTTATTTATTCTGGGGTCTCCCGGGTGGCGCAGTGGTTGAATGCTGGGTTGCAAAGCTGCCCTCAGCTTCTGCAGCGCCAGTTCGATCCCCAGCTGCTGG